ATCATTATTATTATCATTATTATTATTATTATTGTTAATAATATTATCATTACTGTTATCATCATTACTATTACCATTATTACTGCAGCCCTGACATGCAACTTCGGAGACGAAATAAGCAACGCCACCACGACAACCCAGCCCATTGTAGGCCCCGTGACCCAGGCTTTGAGAGTGGCGACGGGTCAGGGGTCACTTCTCTGGTCACCACGTGCATGAACTACGGAGAGTTCACCAGCGACCCGGAGAACTTCACTTGTGTTCGTAAGTATGGTGGTTCGTTTCAACTATCTATGTAGACGAGAACGTTTTGTTGAAGATGGTTCCAAGGTTGTCTCCATGCAGCTTCTTTGATGGCTAGTTTTTTTTCTCCTATGTTTGAAGCGCAGATTCAGTCTCAGTGCTTACATGTCTTTAGTTAAAATATTCATAACGGACGTAATTTTCAGTAATTTCGCTTTATCAGTTCGTAACTGACAATTTCACGACATGTTTTCTATGTCTTATACCAGAATATCCAACGATCAGTTGTGTGGGGTGTGCCGACAAAATGAGTTACTACTCACTATCAGTGAATGGAGAAATCTTCCCAAAAAAACAACATATAGGTCGAATTTGTAGGTTTTGAACTGGTGCCATTTTCTTCAAGTTTAAAATGTCTTTTATCATTTCATACTAATACAACGTTAAAAACCTCACCTACAAATTTGATGAATCTATATCCACCGGGCTAAAATCCGAGACGTTACTTATTTTTCAGCATTGATCTTTTTTTAAAATAATAAAACTTTAACAAGAGAAAAACAACGTTAATTATAACAAAACAGAAATAGAAATAACAACATTGAAAACAGAAATCCATAGCTCGACATATTGTGAAACTCTATTGTTTTTCTTCTGAAAGCTAGGTACCGAGCATAATAATATACATTTTTGTAATATTAGGATACCAAATTAACGTTCAGTACTCTTCCTCCGCTTTTCATCCGCGCACTCATATACCCTCATGTAGTTGCGAGCACCGTAAAGCTCTTATTAAACTAAACTAACAACTCCCCCCCCCCCACGAACTCCTATAAAAAAAAAACAGGAATGGACTGTGGCGACGTTCCTGTTCCCGCCAACGCCTCCATTAACCAGTCCACGTCCGCCGCCAGCACGTTATTCGGGGACAAAGTCTACTTCATCTGTGATCACAGTCTCCAACGATTGGACGGTGTCAACGTAACATGGGAGGTCACGTGCTCTGAGACCAAGGAATGGCTGCCCGCCGTGCCTGCTTGTGAGGGTAAGTAGGCTATTCTTTTGAAATATTTAAATATTGATTTACCATTTTCTCCGTGTCAAGCGCCATCTGACAAAGTGTAATCACGTGATTCATAATTCTAGCATATTTTCAGCAGGCATCAACAAAATCTTCTCTCCACTTCAGGGGCGAAGGCTGACTTGTTTGACAGGGTAATCATTGTGAGACGGGACCATTAAGATGTGTGTGTGTGTGCAACTCTCTCTGTCGTTGTCATGACGAGCGATACTCATGAAAAACAAACTGATAACTAAATTTTAATGTATTATATATAAATATAATATCAATATATATATACATTTCCAACCGGTGTCATTATGTACATCGTCAAAGGTAAATAGCTCAGTGTAACAATGCATTATCGTGTTCATTCCCTTCGTTTCTTAAACAAGGATGAGTGTCATTGATTGGATTTTAATTAATGTTTTAAAGGTTTTATTGTTGTTATTTTTTGTTTGCTTGTTTTGATTTTAAAAGAACAATGGGGTGGGGGTGTCATCAATTATACAGGGTGTCTCAAAAGTTGCTAGACTGCACAGCTGTGTGCTTGTTCACTTCAGACATCGGACTAATTTGAAATCAAAACAACAACAGCAGCAGCAACATCAACAACAAAAAAGAGCAACACCAACAACAAAAGCAACGATTGCGACAACAACAACAACAACAAATGTTTAATCGCTACCTCTCTCCTGCCACTACCCAGATACCAAGTTCATGACCCCTCCCCCGAGCATCCAGAACACCCAGCGCAATAGCAACAACAACACATAGGCACACACGCACACAACCACCATCACAACCACCACCACAACCACCACCACAACCACCACCACAACCACCACCACAACCTCCTCCACCTCCACCAGCAACAACAGCAACAACAACAACAAACGTTTAATCGCTACCTCTCCCCTGCCACTGCCCAGACATCAAGTTCGTGTCCCCTCCCCCGGGCATCCAGAACACACAGCACAACAGCAACAACAACACACACGCACTCAACCACCACAACCACCACCAAAACCACGACCACCTCCACCAGCAACAACAAAAACAACACACACGCACACAACCACCACAACCACTACAACAACCACCTCCACCTCCACCAGCAACAACCACCACAACCACCACAACCACCTCCACAACCACCACAATTACCACCACCACCACCAGCAACAACAACAACAACAACAACAACAACAAACGTTTAATCACTACCTCTCCCCTGCCACTCCCCAGACATCAAGTGCGTGTCCCCTCCCCCGGACATCCAAAACACCCAGAGGAGCGTCCCCTCCCCGGCCTACTACAATGACGTCATCACTTACACCTGCAATGATGGCTGTCAGTTCCCTGACGGCTCCACCAATACGACTGTCCAGTGTCTGACCACTGGAGACTGGAACATCACACTGGTGCCGGCGGAATGTACTCGTGAGGAGAATTGCTATATTTATCTAAGGGGGGGGGGGCTCTTGGTTTTTTTTTGTCCTTCTATTTGTTGACTTTTGTTGTTATCATCTTATTGTTGTTCTTGTTGTTGATGCTTCTTCTTCTTCTGCTGCTACTGTTGTTGTTGTTGTTGTTGTTGTTGTTGGTGGTGGTGATGGTGGTGGTGGTGGCGGTGTTCTTGTTGTTTGCGACGGTGGTGATTGTTTCGTTTTAATGTTATTATTGTTGTCATTGTGTTTGATATTGTCGCTATTATCGTTCTTATTGTTCTTGTGGTTGTTGTTGTTATTGTTGTTATTGTTGCTGTTGCTGTTAATGCTGTTTGAGTGAAATATTTGTTACTCCCTATCAACTTAATTAACATCATTTAGGAAATGAGCTGCTTCGATCCTTTGGATCTGAAGGAATGAAACAAGACGGAAAAAATACGACTAAAAAACAATGTCACACATTCAGCTACATCCTGACATTGATGGTCTAATGTTATACTTCACCTTTTGATAATGTTTACCACATCCTACGGGGATGGGATTCTTTTAGAAACTAATATGGTCAAAAATAAGCTTTGAATTCCTTGAGCCCATGGTTGAAAAAGTGCATGAAGAAACCTTAAACAGGTTTTTACCCTTTTTAACAAATTAATAGAAATATGAGTATTCTATCCCAGACAACCAAAGTGTCGTCGATTGCTTAGTCGTTGATCTACCGGAAATGTGATGGTGAGATTGCGGGTTCAGGTATTCTAGCCTCAGCTCGGTCCAACTTTATATCCTCGTGAAAGGCATTTACACAAAATTTCTATATGGGTCTGTCCTTTCGGAGAAACACGTTGAACTCAGAGGTCCCACCTCTTAAATAATCTTTTAGCGTTGATAGGGGTATTAAACCTATGCCACTCCCCCCCCCCCCCCCCCCCCCCACCCCCAGGAAACCGCTGCTCCGTGGACACTGTCAGTGTGGATAACTCCACCATTGCGCCCATCAACGCCACAGTGGCGGTACAGTCATGTGACCCCGGCACAGAGTTCCCTGACCGGCGTACATCCAGGGAGGTCACGTGCAATAATGTAACATTCGCCTGGGATACGGGGGCAGAGCGATGTCAAGTAAACAGTGAGTATTGTTTGTTTCGTTGCGTTTTTGTTTGTGCTTTTGTTTGTTTGTTTGTTTTACTTTTACTGTTATTCTTTTTGTTTTGTTTTTAACATTTGTTTAATTCTGTTTTTTATTTTGTGATTTTTTGGGGGAGGGGGGGGGTAAAAGTGGCTTATGTTTTTGTGTTTGGGCTTTAGAGTAGTTTTTTTTCTGTTTCGTTTTGCCTTATATGTGCCGTAAAACTCTTTTTAAAACTGTGAGAGGACATGATCATGATTTGCTATTTGAACTCCGCTTCATTCTTTATTTATTTACTTCCACTCCTTCTTCTTCCACAGAATATTTCTCCTCCTACATGTGCCAGACGGGAACGAACTCGCGTCTCGTCCAGTCCCCGGCGGAAGTCGTCACAGCTCGCAGTATGATCGACTGCGCAATGCAATGTCTCAATCTGATTTCCTGTTCCGGGTACAACTTCAAAAACACTGGCTCTTCAGAGTCGAACAACTGTCTCCTTTTTACAACCAGTGTGTCGGGATCACCGTCCAACCCCAGCGATGACTGGGATATTTATACAAGCAACTGCAATTAACTCTTTTAGTATTTAATGAGCCCAATACAGTTTGTGCTAATTTAATTATTTTCTGGCTTTTAGGATAAATCACTTTAAAAGGCCACAATCCCAGATACTGAAACGGAAGTAAGTACAAATTGGAACGGAAATTCTACAGAATACGGGCATCATCTTTTCAGTTTTCGACTCATGTTGTTAATTTCTCAACTGCCTTGACAGAAAATGTGATTAATAAAACTGCCAAAAAAGTCAGAATTTGGAGTGAGTACTACGTAGATATCACTCAACTCACGACATTACACAACCCCATCGACACTGCATCTTCAACTCCAACAATTTCAAGAGGTACAGGAAAAGTAACCACATTTTGTCGAAAAACGAGAACTAACGCCACCACGCTGAGCTTTTTTGAAACAAAGATGAGGGTCAGTGTAGTTGAGTGGCTAGAGAGATGCGTTTCCTAGTCCGGACCTCGTACGGTCAAAACAATCCTGGCTAAAATCTCCCACGGATGGGGTTTCGGCGGCTATCACTGCTCAGTCATATCGCATGTGGAAGGTGAAAGAAGATGGTTCGGTTAATAAATGTCTAATCTATTTCAAAGCAAACGATCAATACACGGACTCCCAAATGATCTATACTAAAGTGTCGTTTTCATAAGAATATTTCGACTGTTTACTTAAAGTCAAAGACTCGCTGTACATGTTATTGAAAAGTGTCGTACGACGAAGTGTTACATTGAGTTGTTGATTTCTTATCCTTCGTTGAATATAGTGATATCGACAA